TAGTAGTAGTAGTAGTAGTAGAGNNNNGAGAGAGAGAGAGAGATCTTCCTTTGTTGAATCTATCGGTTTTTGGATTGAGGATAGTGAGATCAAGAATTATTGACAAAAACCATGCCTGTATTTCTATTTGTTTTTCATGGTCTCATGGCTGAACGATATCACTTTATATTAATCAAATGCCAAATTGATGAGTTTGGCAGTTCTGCATTGTTGTCAATTTTGAACCAAATATTTGTATGCAAATAACTTGGAAACCCCATGTAGAGAGGCTAGACTAAAAATGGACATCCACCAACTTAGTTGGTATTACCCCCTTGTAGTAATGAGTTGGAAAGCCACCCTGTTTACGTGGCAAATTAATGGCGTTCAGATTGGATCATGAGCAACTTAATGCAAACATAGAATGTCATGAGCTTGTTGCATGTTTCTATACTTTGCGTTAAACTGGTTTGGCCTAACTGTCCACTCTGATACTGAAAAGGAGCCCATTGGAAACAGGCTGATAAGGTCGTGGCCTTGTTTTGATGGAATTCAGGGTTTTAGCGACTCTAAGATTATAGCCCGTATTATTGGTATGGCTTCAGAAAATCATTTTGGAGAAATAATATTTGATGTGTTCAGTATTTTGATTCTGAGATTGTGGAATGGTAGGAAGCATGCATGAAGTTTTAGCTCGCATATGATATCTTTTTTATCTTTTAAAACCGAACAAATTTGCACGAGAATATTAGTATTTTAGCTTTTTATTTTCTTTAATTGGGAAAAGGTTATGATGATGATGATGATTTTCTTCAATGTTTGTTGTTTGGGAACATGATCAAGGATAAGCTTTATGGTAGTTTACTGCCTCTCAAGCATTAATTTGGATGGTGAATATTAATGTCAACTTTCCTGTCTTATAGGTTGAAGCTAAGGACTCAGCAAGCGGTTCTGTGTACTATTATAATGAAAGTAGTGGTAAAAGCCAATGGGAGCGGCCTGTGGAGAGTGCCATGCATCGGCAACCACCAGAATTACCTTGTCCATCCATTCCAACTCTGCTGCCGGATTGGGAAGAAGCTATTGATGATTCAACAGGCTCTCTCTCTCTCTCTCTCT